TATTTCTTTTGGCCAACTATTCAGTGAGATTAACATTACTAATAATTTTATCTTACAAATGATAAAACTGAGAACACTAACATTAAATAGTTTATCAAGGGTCAAAATAGTGCAGAATTTTGCCGAGATATAATCGTGGGCCATTCCTTGAAGACATGCCCATTAGTGTAATTGTGGGACAAATATTATAGGAGTAACCAACTGCTTTCTAATTGAATTTAAGGTCTGCTTCATAGGATGAAGCCCATACCTGACACTGATATCAGGTCTAGGAACCTGAGTCTAGACATTGCACAGGCTATGGGAGAAAGCCTAATACAACTATTCGGTTAAATAGATATTGTATTAAACTGATTTCTAATGTCTTATTGCTATATCCATAGATCTCTCAAATCTCAGAAGAGAAGATTTCTGCAGCAGATGGCGATTAACCCAGAGAACCACAACTGGCCAACAGGAAGAGAATAAGAGTCTTCCGTCTGCTTATCATTGAGGCAGACACCTGTACCAAATTTCTGCCTCCCAAGGCTCAGGGATCATTATGTAAGACAGGGCAGAAAGATCATAAGAGCCAGAAGAGGTGGATGACCACAAGTAAACAGAGTTTTTCAGACAGCTGGTTAGTTATTCACAGTGAGTCCTAGATAAGTACAAGCCAGACAAAATCCCAGCATAGGCTTGGGAAAGTGGGTAAGAAACCCCAACCCTATCGGAGGAACTGTCACTCCATGACAGCTGGGAAGAGGAGAGTCAGTCTCATTTAAGGATGAAACTCGAGGCAGGGTGACCAGGATCCAGTGGATCAATGTTTTATTGGTTAGGGTCAATTGATCAATGTTTATTGGCTAGAATTTCTAATAATGAGAAAAGCAGTGCTATAATTGGAATACATTTTGAAATGTCAATAATAAAAATTTGTGGTGATTCACCCAGACCCACATCTGGTCAAGGTGCAAAGAAGAAAGTACTGATTGCTCAGCCGAAATGGGGCACCTATATCACACCCTCTCTGCTCCAGTTTTAAGAACTATTGTGGAAGTGGAAAGCTTTTGCAATGTGATGGTAATTAAGAAATTTGCAGCAGGGAAAACTCTTAAGAGACAGGTAAGGGTAGGTGAGCAGGAGTCTGTCCATCCTGACCCCTGTGGTTGCCCAGGAGGGAAGTCTTTGTTTTCTAAAGTTTTCACATTCGGTAACCTTTGTGGCCATGTTACCTTGCTTAATTATCACATGTACCTTTTACTTAATTGTCACCTATGTGCTGTTTTGCCTTTTGTTTGCATTTCCCCACACATGAGTATAAAAGCCCCCCCCCCCAAATTGAACAAGGGGTCTGACTTCTTTATTTGTGGTGTCTGTCCCGCTAGTGTCAAATTAAACTTCCTCTCCTCACCTGACTTTGGCTATTGGCCTCTGATTTTTCCGTAACAGAACCATTATGGAAGAGTAGATGGATTGATTGTAAGAGCCAGATGTGGTGGATTACTTCACAGGAAGCAATATTTTCCAAACAGCAGTGCTGCTGCACATAAGAACCCACAGTACTTAATGACAGCATGCACAAAACCTATGCAAGCTCAGGTCAGACAAAAACCCAGTATGGATGGGGGAGGTGAGCAAGAACCTTCAGCCTAGCTAAGGAATTGATGACAATTGATAACTGCTGGTAAAGGAGTCAGTTTTCTTTAAGGGTGTGATCCCAAGTAGGTTGACCAGGGTCCAGAGAATGGACCCATACCCAACAGCATGAAGTTGGTGAGAGGGGGTGAATCTTTTATATTTAAGGTTTAATTTCATTTTGGATCTCTTAAGAAATATCCAAAGACTTTTAAAACCTCCCCTAGAACTTCTCCTACCTCGGACTTTCATTCTGTTAGTACCATAACCATATTGGTGGGGGAAGCAGGAGCTGCACCAGCCTTTTATGTCTGTCCTCATTCTCTCCAAACTATAATTCTTGCTGTGAAACTTTTAACCTAAGAGAAGTTTGCTGAGGCCAACATCACCCTTTATAGATGAGATTATGTCTTTCTGTATTTTCATTATTGTTTTATATCATTTTTTATTCCAAATCGACTGTTCAAATGCTTGATTTTTTTTTTTTTTCGTCTTTTTGAGACAGGGTCTCCCTGTAGCTACAGGTGTCCTGGAACTCACTATGTAGACCAGGCTAGCATTGAACTCACAAAGATCTGTCTGCCTCTGCCTCCCAAGTGCTGGGATTAAAGGTGAGAGCCACCACTCCTGGCTCGATTTTTAAATTGACAAATCAACTCCCTGATATAGATCATGGTGTTTCTGGTGACTGCAATGGAGAAGGAGAAGGAAGTGATACAGGTCTGAAAGTGTGTGTGAATGCCCTAAGTGAGTGTCTCTGAGTGTTGATATGCATCTACACACACGTACACTCTGTGCCTGTGTAAGCTTGTGTGTTGTCAACACACACACACACAAATTCATCTGTGTGTACCCACAAACACTCATTTACTTCTTCAAATGTACAAATGATGGATATCTATAAATGCATTATTCACTGTGCCTTTAAAGGAGGCAAATATTTGGACTTTTTTCCAGACAGCTCTATGAAGAACAGGAAGGATTTAATCACATGTGGTTTCCCTATCTGTAGGCTTATGAATAAGCACCAGTATTATCATCTGTTCTTGATAATTATATTCCTTTTATTTTAATATATTTTTACTTTGTGCATATGAGTGTATTGCCTGCATGTAGCTAAGCGTACCCATGTCATGCAATGCCTATGGAGGTCAGAAGAGGGCATCGGATTCTACTGGACATGGAGTTACAGACAGTTCTTAGCCACCATGTGGGTGCTGGGAATGTAATTACATTTCTGAAGATATATGCATGTGAGATTTCCATTGATCCAGTGTGCTGTAAAAATGAAGTCCAAATTTTGATAAATTTCATGCACAAAGCAGTTCCTTTAAGAAGTCTGAAATGAAACCTTATATGCTTGATTTTGTACTGTAGCAAAACAAAACTGTTTCTCCTAACTGCTCCATTTATTCCATCAACTACGAAGTCAAATCTAAGTGTACAGTGAAAAACTATGCATTTATGGTCTGAAAAATAGCTAAACTTACTTCAACATGTACAATTCTAAAACTTTAAGATCTCTGACATTCAACTTGTTACTGTTATTACCAGTAGGTACTTTCCTTTGTTTGGTCACAAGTTCATAAGTGTCAAGAGAGCTTGGAATAATGGTGTGTGACTTACTGAAAACTCCCATTTATTCTATATTTAATTTTTCCTTCCACTTAATTTTTTTAGGTATAAAAATGAAAAAAAATGTTTTCAGGAATCACAAATTGACTGTGTCAAAAACTCTAATTGCGACTGACTCTTTTTTATCTTCCTGCATATATTTGCATTTATTATTACCAAACAATTGCATATGAAAAGCAATTGTTTTATTATATTTTAAAGGAATGAAATAGAGGATATAGACTATAGCCCTGAAGTAGGGAAGTATCCTATTTTAATGCTGTGGATAGTCTGCTGTGGGGCACGGATGCAAACAGACAGAAATATGATAAAAGAAACTTCACATTGAGAGAAACCAAAGCCATGAATCTATAATGCTTAAAACAAAGACAAGAACCTAAGCTTCCTTGCTTGTACATATTGAATATGATCATTCATGTGTTGATATATGATTAGGTCTATTTGCCGATTTCACATATCAAGGAAGAATATAAATGAATGTGAGTTCACTTAAAACCAGAGTTTTATTTTGCTATAGATCTGTTTTTCTAGAAAATAATTTTGAGTATCAAAGCAGCTAAAATATAAGTGAACTCACAAATATTATTTTACAAAAGGCACTAGTTTGAGATACCAGAAGCCCTTTCTGAAACAAAATGGATTATGAATAAATAGCTTAATTTATTGAGTTGTTATCTCAATAAACTTAAAACTTTTTGGTCTCTTAAGACTATAATTCAAAAAGATCCTCTTCATTTGCACTCACATACAAATGAAATCAATCATTATTTATGTATATGTTGATTGTTCTGATGGTAAAAAATAAATAAGATACCAGCCTGAGAGCAAAGTTTTCTTTGGGAATACATGTTTTATAAATACCTGACTCTTCTTATGGAAACTTCAGTAAAAATATGCATTTGCAAGCAAATCATTTGAATTCAGAGTTATTGTACTTATTATTTATAATGAATAAGTCAGACAGTTATAGGAACAGTATTGACACTCAGGAGATAGAAAGACAGCAGGTCTCAGTAGGAAAACATGAATTAGGTATTAATCATTGGGGCATCAATGTATTAGATGTGAATAGGGTAGTAGTCTATCTAGGAAAACCTTGTTTCCTTTATGTAACAAAGAACTGATGGGGTGGATGAAAGGGGATCCAAAGAGATTGAAAAACAGAAAATGATATCCTTATATAAGTACATTTATAAAATGAACTTTCTCCTCCAAAAAAAATAAACTTCTAGAACAGAATTTTTCTACATTTCAGAACACATCTTAAGGTTATCCACTATCCCCAAACAGCATATCTGAATCAGTGGAATTCCTGGGATGCTCATCAAGCCTTTAAATACCAGGGCTCTTTAGAATCCAGTTCTCCTGAGGTAGATTCCTAACACTGGGCAGAATGTACAGACAGGCAATATCTTATAAACTACTCTGATTATTTTATGCCAAATTTGCTGGTAAATATAATTACTCTTTTTCAGACTTGGATTAAGAGCAACAATTTTGATCTATTCTTATTTCCAGCTGTTTAATTCAATGTAAAACTAGAAAATCAAGTTTCTCTTTCTTTTTGTTGTTTTTATATATAGGATATTCCTATAGCTCCAAATGGTCAGAAACTGGCTTTATACTCCAGCTGGCCTCCATCTCGTAGAGATCTGCTTGCCTCTGCCTCCAAGTGCTGGCATTAAAGGCAGTGCACCACCACACTGGGTTCAAAGTTCCTCTTTTAAGTTGAGTGGTAATGTACTTACTACAGTTTTCAGCTTTTCTGTTATCTCGGATCACTATTCTCTGGTTGATGGTGCTGAAGAGGGTTGTCCAATTAATGGTATGATAATAACACAGGTTGCTGTTGTCAGTGATGTAGATGTTGCCAGCACTGATTTCCTTCAGGGACTGGAACTGCAGGGAAGTGATGCCTTGTTGCTTGAGAATAAGCAGTGAGAGACCACTAAGGAGAAGAAAGGGGAAAGGGGAAGAGACAGGAATGCTTCTGGTCATGAACTGCACTGTGAAGTACAAAAAGAATGCAACATCTTACTACAAAAAGGACAGTGGAACATAAACAAGCAGTGTCCCAATCAATCTGTGCTCACAATAACCTTTCTTTTTATGCTACATGTCAGCCATGTATAATATTTGTCTTTCTGAGAGATTTTTACTTTCTTTAACATAAAGATCTCCACTTACATCCATTTTCTTTCAAATGAAATGGTTTTTTTCTCTTCTTCGTGGTTGAAAAACTTCTCTCAAACTTAAAATATATATATTCTGGACAAACAAATTATCATTTCAAAGAAATGGCTCTTATTTCAACATTTTTATAATCATTTTATTTTTCTTTTCTAAAGAATATATTATACCTCCCACATTCCCATAACTCAATAACTTCCCAGGTGGCAGTTAACAACTGGTCTGAACACCAATTTCAGGGGATCTGACGCCCATGTCTTTCCTCTGTCGGTACTGCATGACACAGGTACATTTATACACATGCAGGCATAACAGTCATATATATATCAACAATAAAATCTTATGCTAAAAATAAGTATTTATAGATTATACAAATTTAAACACAAATAAACATTTATACATCCCACAAATACAAATTAATTCTACTGTAACTACATAACAGACCTAGACATGTTTTCATAGACTAGATAGTTGAGAAAATGGTTGTAGACACTTTGTTTTAATTTATATATCCCAGAAACCAAACAAGGTAGCAGGTGAAGAATGTATAAATAAAGTTTGTGGATACTAAAATAGAAGAACTAAAAGTTGAAATTAAAAATTAAATACTTAAAAGGCTTTTTCACTTGGAAAAACTTCACTAAAACTTAAAATATATATATTTTGGGGGCTGGAGAGATGGCTCAGCAGTTAAGAACACTGACTGCTCTTGCAGAAGATGCAGGTTCGAATCCCAGGACCCACATGGCAGCTAACAACTGTCCATAATGCCAGTTCCAGGGGATCTAACAGCCTCTTCTGTCCTCTGAGAGCATTGCATGACACGGTACACTTCCCTACACGCAGGCAATACACTCATATACATAAAATAAAAATAATAAATAAATTTTTTTTGATAAATGATCATTTCAAAGAAATGGCTCTTATTTCAACATTTTATAATTATTTTATTTTTCTTTTCTAAAGAATATATTATGCTTCCCACATTCCCATAACTCAATAAAATAAAAGACATTAATTCTCCTTTGGCGGATAACAACTAAACTTTTCACTAGTAACATTAAATACACTTGACTTCTAATACAACTATTCTATTCTTAAAAATAAAAGCACAATGTGCTAAGTAATAAGGACTGAGATACAATTCCTTCCTACTTTTGTCCCTTCCTAACAACCTTGAATTGATTACAGTGTCCACATGATGCCTGGATTGATTAATATTTAATTCAGTGTACAATACACATACATTGTACTTTGATATTTGTGCTTCTTTTACCCTCTCTCCCTTTCACACACTCACTGGCCTCCCTCCTCTTCCCAAATACTCCCTCATTTACTTTATTTCTTTCTATATCCACATATAAGTTCTAAATAAGTGAAAATATAACATTTGTCTGAGAGATTTTTGCTTTCTTTAACATAAAGATCTCTACTTTCATCCATTTTCCTTCAAATGACATGGCGTTTTTCTTCTTTGTTATAATCATTTTATTTTTCTTTTCTAAAGAATATATTATACTTCCCACATTCCCATAACTCAATAAAAGACATTAATTAATAACATGTAGTTGTACAAATGTGCATATTTTATTTATCTGTTCATCTATTAATAGTCTTATGACATTCTTTAACTTGGCTCTGGTGAATAGTGGAGACATTTCTTATGTGTACTAATATAGATACCTTTGAGTATATACTTAAGAAGTATATAGCTGGATCATATGGTAATTTTATTTTTCTTGGGGAGGGGTACCTCCATAATAATATCCCCTCTGGTTGTGCTAGTTTACATTCCTACCAGCAGTGTATAGATATTTTTATTCCCTGCATCATTGCCAGCACTTGTTATCTTCGGTTTTCTTGATGCTAGGCATTCTGACTGGTCTGAGATTTCACTGATTTTTCTTCCTCTGTTGGTAAAGATGTTGAGCATTTTTCATATTTGCTCCATTTCTACTTTCTTTAAAAATTTCTCAGAGATGTATCTGTTTGTATTTTAGTGGTCAAATTTACATAGAAACAATTTCAGACAAACCTTTAAAAAAGTAGTAGTTTATAAAAGATTTACTCTTAATTATGTGAATTTAAAATATTTACAATATTTGATAACAATGTGCTTCTAACCTGTAATTATTTATAATTCAACACTACATTCAGAGAACCCTTTCCAGTAAAACTAATCCTATGAGGTGGGGCACAAATGGTAAAGTCAGAGACAGAACTCAAGCCTCCTGATAAAATTGCATATATTTCTTACACCCTAGTCACTATCAAGTCACTTAACTCTATCTTCAATTATGATAACATAAAATGAAAAATAATGTTGAGTTTAAGTGGCATATCACATGCTTCATATCTGAAAAACATTAATATTTGCCAAGGTATTAAGCAATTGAAAACCAAACTACAAAGGTTTTGTATTTTATACCATCACTGGTGACAACTTCATGAAATGTATCTCTGGAATCAGAAAATCACTAAAATTGATTTTTTTATTTTAATTCATGATGCTCCTCTTTAAATTTATGCAACTTACAGCATTGAAATCATTCACCTACCTGTAGAGCACTCGTCCTCCAATGGTGACAAGGTTGGAGAAAACACTGAAGTCAGTCATGTTTGGGGGCCATGACTGTATGTTCAGGAAACCTATAAGTGGCAAGAAGGTAAATAATTCAGAATGCCATTTTCCCAGTAACAGTGTCAATTATTCTTCAAACATGATGATAATGCATTGAAGGTTGGGAGGTTCACAAAGGGCAATGGAACCATTCCATCACATTTACTCATTTAAAATAGAGTACAATAGGGGCTGAAGAGACGGCTCAGTGGCAAAGAACACCAATTGCTCTTACAGAGGACTCAGGCTCGGTTCCCAGCACCTTGCATGGCAACCAACAACCATCAGCAACTCCAATTCCAGGGCTTCTGAAAATTCTTTTGATCTCTGCAGGCCCCAGACATGCATGTGATGCACATACATACATGCAGGCAAAACACTCATAAACATAAAATAAACAAATTTTGTTTAAAAAGATTGAGCATAATACTATGCATTTCTGGAATAAATATAAATAAGTGATTGATACTAAAATTATGAGCATCAAGAATGCACTTAGACATAGAAATGTTGAAACATGGCTTATTGAAATAGATGAAAAGACATGTATTTAGTTAAAGAGAAAAATACACTTTCCATTGTTGTGAAAACCTTTACAATTTTATCTATATACTTATTACATCTGTATTTATCTTATATTTCAAGCTATATGTACATCTCTAAACTTCCTAAGTTTTACTTTTTGTGATATTAGTACCAAATTGTAGTCTTATTAATGGGCTCATAACATTTAGGATAAAAGCTTAGACAATAGTAGGTACTCAGAAAATATACTAAATGAACGCTACACACCCCCTCACCCCTCCCATTCAGCAGTACCTTTGTGAGGAAGTAAATTGAAAAACATGTTCAAAGATCATAGGTCATTTGGCATTTGCAAAAGCAGTAATACCAAAATTTCAAAGATGTTGAATTTTTGTAATTCCAGGGCTTTTTAATATGCACAGAAGGTATGGATTTAGCTAACTGGTGTTCAAAATGATGTAAGGTTTTATAAACTGAAACTTGTAAAACGGAATTTTGTTATCAATAATCATGTCAAGAAAACACATCAATTCTTGAAGCATGGGTTCAAGAAAACAGAGCTTGTAACATAGCAATTATAATTTTTAAAGTACCTGTTATTTCTCTGACAGTCCGAAAGACATTCAATTTCTCTGGATCTATGGCTTCAATTGCATTGTAAGGGTCCCTAGAAAGCCAAGCAGAGAGGTAGTCAAATTTCAACTGTGATGAAGTAGCAAACATGGGGCAATGATAGCAGTCAATGCCATTCACATTGAATTTTAATTTGAGCTAGAAAGGTAGTGATATGCTATTTAACTTGTTCTAATCTAGAAGTGAGGTGAATAATAGATGAATTCAGGAAATTTTTAAAGACACAGATGATAAGTTCCTCATTAGAGAATATTTTCACTTCAGCTGTATCATTTAATTTTATCACCAAACCTATCATGTGCCTTCCACTCTCTGTTGCAATCTTCTATGAAAACCTTTGCTTGCCAATCCAGGCCCTGATACAAAACCAGTATGGTTATTTGGTGAGCATCTTGTCACTATAATATCATGCACATGAACAATGTCCTGACAAAAGACAAAAGGAATACTCCTTTTTGATAATCCTACACAATTAGCTGACCTGTAGTTATCATTGTAAATGGGAAATGAGTTACAATGGGTATTTTTGGCAAAAGAACAATTGGGCCATTCTGTGAGCATGCCACTTAACTTTTTTTAGCTCTTTCAAATATTAAAATTTTAATCAACATATTGCCATGAATATATTTTCTGCAAGAAACTTGTTTCTGAATAGAATATCATTTAATTATGACTTTTGACCTTATTAAAGAATTATCTCGGCAATTTTAGTAAACAATATCATCCTACTAATACTTATTAGTAATAGTATGAGTAACATCAATAAAGATAAAGCATTTTATTTACCATAAGTTTTCTATTTTTTAATATTCTATTATTTTTATTTTGTGTGTATGAGTGTATTGCATGCATGTAGGTAGTAGCACCTGTGTCACGTAATGCCTGCAGAGATTAGAATAGGGTGTCAGAGTCCTGAAACTGGGCTTATGGATTGTTGTTAGCTGCCATATAGGTGCTGGGAACTGAACTCGGGTCATCTGCAAGAACACTCAGTACTCTTAACTGCTAGGCCATCTCTCTAGCCCCTAAGTTTTCTATTTATATGGACACTCATTGCAAAAACCAACCTCCCTACATTTATACATAAATATCTTAGATCTATTGAATTGACTTTATATTATAGTTTCATAAAATGAAAGAGAATGATTTTGGAGTATACATCTCAGGCTGACATGAGACTAAGAATAGGGAATAATTCATATTTCATATGTATTTGTCTTGGAAAATGCCACATATATTTTACTTTAGAATACAGTAATATCAATTGTAACTTCAAGTATTCCAGGTTTCAGTGTTATGATTAAGGGTAATCATCTGAACTAAGAACTATGACTTAGCTAAAAGAAAATTTTGCCCTTCTTTCTTTTCCAAGATAGTCTAAAAAAGTGTAGTTCAGTCTATAGAATATTTGTTGCATGATTTTATGTGCTATCATCACTGAGCTTTTTCTTTGATTCTCTACCTGCTTTGTTATGATACTTTTGGTTCTTCTCTCTTTCCTTCTCTCCCTCCCTCCCTTCACACCATTTATTAAGATTTTACTGGTATAGGGCTCAGCAATAAAAATACTTTTTGTTTTTATGCATCACAACCAGAGATGGTATTTATTGCTAATCCATTTCTCAGTCTTGTATTGGAAGAAAGTGAGTATGTTAAATGAAAGGAAATCTACCTGCCTCACGGAAACCCTTCATCATGCAGCCACAATTCAAACTCCAGGCTGGTCTGATTTGACTTACTGACATAGAGGTCACATTTGTCTTTTCTGAGCTTAATTTTAAAACCAGATTTTGCTTTTCTTTGCTAATCCATGCATGTTGATATTCTCTGCCATTTTTTTTTCATCTGAATGAATTTCTAAGATTACACTCCTAATAGACTGGGGAGTTTACAGTTTTATACCATTTTCTGCATTATCCTTAAAGTACAATACAGTTTGATACCATGAGATCAATGTTTCTACTTGTTTTGCAATTATCTGTCGAAGATTTCCAAACTCTGGACCAAATATGAATGAGAATACATAAAATCTCAATAAATAGTATAAACCCTCCCCTAGAACGTTCTGTGACGAGCTCAAAAATAACTATGATAATCCTCAGTATTTTTTCAGAATTTCTCAGCTTTGTTTTAATTAGATTTTAAACATTAGGATGTTGCTTTTCACAATTATTGTACTGTTACACAATTTTTGCAGTGGTTCTCAGTGTAGGTCTTACTAATCCATTAAAGGGAAGTTGGGGCTATTTAAAGGGGTGTTTTAATTGCAATCATAATTGGGATTTTAATAATTACCCAAGGACAATGGTGCTAAAAGTATATTACAGCAAAGGATTTCCATTGTCTCATACAACCTTAAAATACATTCCCTGAGACTCACAAATTCAGATGTTCAACTTAATGTTGAGTCACAATTTTTGTGCAATTCCCTAGTCACGTTGCTCTAATTTCAAGGAAAGTTTCTCTGCCATCTTTTAAATAACGTAGCTGCTTAATTATTTTCTATTCCAGTGGTCAGTTGCTCTTTTTATTTTTAGTTTCCTGTTCTTCTAATACAGAATGACTTTGAGTATGATTTCTTATATAATCTGTTTTTATTTTTAGCAAAAGCTAATATTCAAATTAATACATATTTCATAAGTCATTCTTTTTTCTTTAAATTATAATTAGAGAATTATAATGATTTTTAAAATTAAACATGTAGAAGGATGTACTATATCTAGACACTATTTTGGAATTTAAAAAGATATTCATATGTGTGTTTGTGTGTTTGTGTGTTAGATGTTAGATCTGAAAAGGTTGAAAAGTCACTTGTCTCAGGCAATTCATTAGCGTATACTTTGAAATCACTCCTGTGTTTGAATTAGAATGTCTGCCATAGGCTCCAAGGATTTGGGTATTCTGTCCCCAGATGGTGGAGATTCTTTGGCAGATTTTAGGTGTGGCCTTGCTGGAGGAAGTGTGTTCTGGGGCAGGCTTTGAGAGTTCTTAACCCTTGAGGAACTTTCTGCCTCTCTGCTTCCTGTGCTTGCCTCAAGATGTGAGTGTTCTGCTCTCTCCTCCCACCACCTCCTGCCATCATGCCTCCCCAATGTAATGGACTTTGCTTTCTCTAGAACTGTATGTTCAAATAAACACCTCCTTTTATAAGTTCCCTTGTTTATGTTTTTGGTCATAGCAACAGAAATGTAGCTACGTCCCTCTCCCACACACACACACATACACACTGATTGACTTGAGGCTGCCACAGTCAACTTAAGAAGATCTAGAATAACTTAGAGATAAACCACTGAGCACACTGTGGGGAATCATTTATATTAGGTTACCCTCTCGGGGTGCCTTTAAGAAATTATCTTGATTTGGTTAGTTGAGGTGCCCACCTAAATGCGGCTGGCGCCATCTGGACTGAACTAAAAAGAGCTCTGTGCTCTAGCATTCATCTCCTTTTGTGTCTTGACTGTGGATAAAATGTACCAAGATGTGTCAACTTCCTGCCTCCATGACTTCCCTGCCATGATGGACTATGCCCTGGAACTATGAGCCAAAATCAACTCCTCTCTTGAGTTGCTTTTGTCAGGATATTCTATCACAGTAACAGCAGAAGTAGCAAATGCAATGTCCATGTGGAAGCAGGGGATGTGAGTCAAGTGGCTCCATCTTATTTCTGTTTCTCCTTTTTTTTAAAAAAATATTATTTTTCACTTATGAGTGTATTACTTGCATGTATATAAGTGCACCCATATTGTGCAATGCCCACAGAGGTCAGAAGAGGGCATCGGATCACCTGGACCGGGAATTACGGATGGTTGTTAACTGCCATGGGTGGTGGGAACCAAAAAAAGGTCCTCGTCAAGAGCAACCAGGGCTCTTAACTGCTGAGCTGTAACAGATGATCTTTTTCTCATGGTGATATATGGTTTTAAAAACAATCAATGGATAAATGTCATTTTTCTGGATGTCATATAATCATTAAATTATTAAAAATGTACTGAAATATTGACCTAAGTCTCTTACCCAGTGAGCTTAGAAGACAAAGCCAACATTGCAGGTGTCTTCAGAGGACCACAGGGGACTTTATGAAGTCAACTGAGTGGGTCCCATCTGAATGGCTGAATGCTGGCTGCTACTTCTCCCTAACAAATTATTGCCATTAGGAATGTGGGCTGAGAATTGCCCAGTTTTTAAACTGACATTAGAAATATTAATTTTAAGAAAAATATTAGTTTGGCCAAACATAGCAAACAGGATAGAAGGTACATAAATACTTCTATAAGATCTGACATGGGACAATATTAAAAACTATAAAGATATTGCATTCAAGAACAAAAATAACTTATTTGAATGAAAAGAAATACTTTAACCCATTGTTATTGCTGCTCTATGTAGGCATATTTGTTTATTTGTGAAGCTATTTTGCTTCCAGAAATAATGTGATGTTTAAGAGTTTGAATTAAAATATGTGAGTGATTGTCTGCATTTGTAGCCCATGGTACTAATATTTAGGAATTAAGAGGTAACGTCAATAAATAGAAAGAATAGAAAGCATAATAATGGAATTTTTATTACACAAAGTATACAAATGTGGTTATTTTCCTGGTTAAAACCAGCAGGTGGTCTGTAATGAAGGATCCAAGATAATGTTAAAGTTTTTATTACCAAGGACTGGAGAGATAGCTGAGAGGTTAAGAGCATTGGCTGCTCTCGCAGAGGACCTGGGTTCGGTTCCAGCAACCACATGGTGGCTAACAACCTTCATAACTCCAGTTCCAGAGAATTCAATGCCCTTTTCTGATCTTCCTGGGCATTGTAGGACATGAGTGCACTTACATACCTGCAGGTAAAACACTCATAACACATAACAAACAAACAAACAAATAAATAAATAAATGATAAAATTTTTATTTCCAAAATATAATCTATTTAACAGATCTTTTAGAGTATCACTAATTTCCTCATATAAGAAAAAAAAAAAAAGAGAGAGGGAAAAGAATACGTCAAGACAAAATAAAATTTTGAAAGAACCAGGAGAATTTTAAGTTTAATTTTATGTCACATTATATGAGTTCCTTCATGTGAGTTTTTAAGGAATATAATTTATATTGTCTTGAACTAATTAGTTGCAGATTTAAATGATATTTCTCATTTCATATTAGACCTGCTTCTTTTAACATCACTAAAAAACTTGAGCTGGTTGAGACTGTGGAATTTGCAAGAAGGTGTGCAACTGCATCTTCATTACAAATTTACATTTTCATACCCAAATAGCTACCAAACTCTAACTGCAGATGCATCCCAAATGTGTTTAGTAACACTGCGGTGGATCTGGCCACTGATTTCGCTGGCAAAGAGAATAAAGGAAAGGTAAAACTTTTCTGGGTCAAGATGAATCAACCAGGAAAAGCTAAGCGATATCTTCACTTTGCAAAACAGTTTTGTACAAATACTGAATACTGACCCATGAATACCAGTGACAAGGAAGATCAAATTCCCATTGATCTTTGTGCAGTTTATGAATTTGTCAATATTACTGGAGTCCACAGTCTGGGCTGACATCAATGATCCAGTGCCAATGCCATCGCAAGCTGAAGAAACAAGACTCAGAGTGAGCAGCTGAAAAAATTACTTTTTTGCTAATAAATCATTGCATTCTCACTATGAGATAACGGAAGTTAGTATAAAACTTTAAAATATTATTCCTGCTGGGCGTGGTGGTGCACGCCTTTAATCCCCGCACTCAGGAGGCAGAGGCAGGTAGATCTCTGGGAGTTTGAGGCCAGTCTGGTCTCCATATTGAATCCAGGACAGCTGGGGCTACAGGGAGACCCTGTCTCAAAAGACCGAAAATAATATAACGTCATTAACGGAATTTATTTAATGTTCTCTGTTCATTTTCTAGCAAATGTTTGAGTGCTTACTATGTGCTAACCCTTATCCTAGGCATTAA